ACAGAATCTTATGCAAATTCTGAATATGGTGGACTTTAATGAAAGAAGCTTCCCAATCAGATATCTGGGAATTCCTTTGACGCCGTTAAAACTTTCTGTGGCGCAATACGGTCCACTTTTGAATACAATCAGTGAATACATTAATTTGTGGGGCTTGAAAACTTTATCCTACGCTGGAAAGGTTGAACTTATTAGGGCTATTCTGCAAGGAGTACAATCCTTTTGGCTGCAGGCTTTTCCGGTCCCACAAACAGTACATAAACATATTGCTACTCTATGCAGGATTTTCTTATGGGGAGGGGGACAAGCTAAAGTTGCTTGGGTGGATATTTGCTTACCAAAGTCAGAAGGAGGACTTGGTTTGAAGGACTCAAGAATCTGGAACATGGCACTTTTATCAAAAACATTATGGGACATACACCGAAAGGCTGATTCCCTGTGGGTTCGATGGGTACATGCTGTGTATTTGAAAGGTCGGTGTATTTGGGAGGTGGAAGGGCATAATCGAGACTCACAGCTGATGAAGAAACTGTCAAATGTCAAAGATCTGCTATTAAACCATTTTCAGGGCCATAATGGAACCATTCATGGCCTATGCATGTTATGCATCTCTAGAAAACTTCCATCTTCCAAGATCTATGATATTTTACGAATTACAGGGACCAAAAGGACCTGGATGCCCATTATCTGGAGGAATTTCATTAACCCAAAATTCTCCTTTATCACTTGGCTTGTTTGTCGGGATAGGATTGCAACTCTTGACAACTTGACGTTCTTGAATCTGGAAAACCAATGCTTCTTTTGTCACAAAGAACCAAAATCTGTGAAGCATCTATTTTTTACTTGTAATTTTTTTGCAGGTATATGGAGGGATGTTCGAAAATGGTTGGGTGTTACAAGACATTTGTCCACCATTGCTAGCGCTGTAAAGTGGATAAAGAAAGAAGATGGGGGAGCAAGAATGCGAAACAAGGCTATTTTCATATATAGCTTTTTGCTACACTGTCTACACAATCTAGAGAAACAGAAATGCTGTGTATTTTGATCACATTACTCCCTCACCTCAGGAGACCCTCTTCAAAACCAAAGTGGCAGTTTACAGGATTTCATTTAGTTTATACCCTAATATCACTATTGATTTCTGAATATTAGCTGAAGCATTGTAGCTTTGTAGCCACTGTTGTATGGCTTTGATCTTGACTTGGCACTTTTGGTTTTCCTTTTCGAAACGGGCGTGTGTGCTTGTTTTGATATCCTACATTAATGGCATGTATGCAATCAGATTTGGGGCCTGTCCCGAACTGCATTGCTGATAACGGGATGAGCTGGTTCACACTAGTTTCCCGTCATTTTGTATTTTATGGCCAAGGGTATGCCCCGTTGACTTTGTATTTCAATTTTGGATGAGTTCAACATGTAGATTTTACCCGTTATCAATACGCTATACATCTCCACCGAACATTTTGTGTGTAAAGCTTTGTTGAAGATCCCCCTCAAGCCTCCACCACTTTATCTTTGGCTTCACTTGTTGCTTAACTTGTCTTCTATGGTTCTTACCTCGAAAGTCAAGCACAAGCATCCTATGATGAGTGACAACACTCTCACTTGGGATAACCTTACAATCTGTGTAGCTAGTTCTCCAAGTAGTCCGTACTAAGAAGTAGTCAATTTGGGTACTATTAGCTCCACTTTTATAGGTTACAAGGTGAGAGTCTCTTTTCCTAAACCAAGTGTTCATTATAGCAAACTCATACGTCGAGGCAAAATCTAAGATGTTCTTTCCTGCTTCATTTCTAGTGCCAAACCATGTCCGCCATGAATACTCTCAAAGCCATCACGACTCGAGCCCACATCCCGTTGAGGTCGCCTCCTGTGACCAACTTCTCTCCCCTTGGTACTCATCGCACCACGTCTTCAAGATCTTCCCAGAACTGTTGAGTGGAAGATGCATCCAATCCCACATGTGGTGCATAGGCACTTACACAGAAACAATCTCACCCTTTATCACCAATTTAATGCTCATGATGCGATCGTTCTTCCTGAAGACTTCTACCACATCCTCAACATAGTCACGCGCCACAATAATGACTACCCCATTTCTGGTCTTATCTCTCCCCGAATACCACAACTTAAAACCTTCGGGATCAATCTCGTGTGCTTTCTCTCCAACCCATTTAGTTTCTTGCACACACATAATGGGATGATCTGCCTGTAAGGAACCCAACATTCCATGTCCCAAAGCGCAATCTGGCATTCCACCTTCTGTTCTTAGCCCCACCTCGGACCCCACCATGCCCATGCATATTTTCCATCATCCCCGAGCAATGGGATGAAGCGTCGATTCTGGGCGACGACCTAGCAACCTTAGCATTCTTATCACCACACCCAGACTTATGAAGTGTAGCGCGCCCTTGCATATTTGACACCACCCCCAGGCGGAGGGATGACGCGCCGCTTACGGGTGACGACCTAGCTATAACGATATTCATATTTCGATTCATGTCATGTGATGTGACTAGGTAATATTGTTGGCCGTCAGCGCCTACCACAACACCCTCATCCTTTATCCTGTCTTGGGACAGACATGATACCAAAAAAATGATCGCGTGGAGGAGTTATAAGTTTGAAAATTCTAAAATACGACTGCCATGTTTTTATTCCCAAAATAGGAGTAATTACTGCCAAATTTGGAAAATACTGTCATGTTTAAAGTCTGGTACTGACAAAACATGACAGTAATTAGTCATATTTTGGGAATAAAAATATGACAGTCTTATTTTAGAATATAGTAATTGTCCTAAGTAGGACTAAAACAAAATGAAAATTCACAAATAGGACTTTAAGTTTTTTATTCCTTAAGTAGGACTATATTAGTCCTATGTAGAAACGTAATAAAATTCTATACCATTAATACCCTTCTTTTAATTAATTTCCAAAATTCCTTAATTTCCCATCCTATTCTCTCTCTCCTTGCATGATCAATTAGTTTTCTCATGTGCGTAGAAATAGATCTACTTCTCCCGTTCTCCCCCATAACTTCTCTTCGTGCATCGCAGCCATCGCCGACTTTCTCGCCTCTAGCCGCTGCCGTCACTACCGACCTCACCACGCGCCGTCATAGGTTTCCTCTTCTCTTTCTCTTCTTCTTCTTCCTCCTCTTCTTCTAATCCGATCTATTCCTCCTTCACTTCCTCCTTCACCTATTCCTCTATTTTAATTAGATTTGCCATTGATTTTTCTGATTTCTCTCATATTCTTATGTTTTCCTGGAATTTGACACTTATTTTGTTAATTTTAAGAATTCTGTTTTGTATTTTTCTGATTTTTTGTTTCTGATTTCTTAGTTTTTTTAATTCCGATTTTCCAAAAGTTTGGATGATGGTTTCAGATCTTGCCAAGTTTATAGCAGAAATGTGTACAACACTCATATTATGGCAAAACTGCTTCTTATATGGCAAAATCTTATGTGTAAATCGATTTTGCTAATTTTTTACTCTCTCCGGTTTTTAATAAACTTCACACTTTCCTTTTTGGGATGGTCTAAAATAAACTTCACACTTCCTTATTTCCTTTTTTGGCAAAGAAATCTACATCAAAAAAGTGCCAAACAGTGTCTCAACAGTGCCAAACAGTGTCTCAACAGTGCCAAACAGTGTCAAACAGTGTACTCTACAGTAAAGTCAAATTTCTTTCCTTATTTTGTGTGAAGTCAAAGTGTGAAGATTAAATAAAACCAGAGGGAGTATATTTCAGCTACTTATATTTAATTTTCGATTGTGTTATACTGCTTACTTTGTTTTTTATTTTTTGGTTATTAGCTTCATTTTTTCTTTCAAATTTATGACAGTTTTGTGTCAAACTCCATGATAAATCTGCCAACTTTATGGCAGATATGAAAAACCTTTTTGATGGCAGATTTCATATACTCTTCAAAGCCAAATCTGCCAATGTAATGGCAGATGTATGGCATTAACGACAGTACTCGGAAGTGGAGTGGTGGTGCATCAGATATGGTGGAGGATGCTGACAGCGGCGGTGCTCGGAGGTGGAGTAGTGGTTCTGGTTGGGCGAAACCACTTGGCGGCGATGGATGGTGGCACTAGATAGGAGGCGGTGTGCGGCGGTGCAGATGGGGGAGTGCAACGGCTGACTTTTCCGGTGAGGGCAGATATCAGCGCCGCCGGTGATGACGGAGGCAGGCGGGCGGCGGCGGCAGACTACAAGGGGTGGCAGTCCTACTGCTAGCGTTGAAGTTTTTAGGGTTCTAGCAATATTTATTTACATTTTAATTATAAATTGAGATAAAATTTCATTAAGGGCATTTTTGTACAAGTAGGTGATTTTAAGTCCTAGGAAACATTATTTTGAATGAAAGTCCTATTTGAGCAATTATCTTTTATTTTAATCCTAATTAGGGAATTCACTCTTTAGAATATACAAACGTTTTTAGTCCTATCTAGGGTAATTTCCCATTCTACAATAATAATCCCTACTCAGAGTGTCCACATAAATAATCTGAACTAACAATGATGTTCATAAGAATAAATTGGGGTGAATTCAAATTAATGCCTGCTTAATACTCTCAATTCTTATTTCCACTTTTCTCTTCTCCACTCTTTTTCTTGGGATAAATTCAAACTACAACTTGTTCTATCTCAAAACCATTTTCGCCATACGTGTTTTCTCTAGGTTGGAACATAAAAGTGTTAACCGAGACGAAGAGTGGTGAAGGAGAAAGTGGAGGTAGGGGTTGGGAGCACTAAATGAGCATTAATTTGAATTCACTCCAATTTATTCTTGTGGACACTATTTCTAGCACTGGTTATTATTGTAGAATTCATAAAAGTAGGGATTATTCTTGTGAATTTCGCCAACAAGTTAAACATATTGAATGCTTAAATTGCTACCTAGCCAATTAGCCACATGCTGCCACAGGCAAATACCCTAGTTTATTTGCAAGATAAAACTCAACAGGGCATTGAGAATTATCAAATTCAACCCTTTTATTCTGAATGGTTCTATGCTCGTATTTTCTACTAAATGATAGATAGCTCTCACGACAGTATATAGTATCCCGGCCATTATAATTTCTTTGATTGATTGTGTTGTTTTCATTCCTACTAAATTATTATATACATATACATCTGAATTGGTAAGGTAGCTGTAAATCTGTAATGCTAACCCTTTATTTGCAACATCTCGAAACAAATATCGATCTGATCCACTACATCACACCTAAGCTAGATAAACTTTGCATGCATCACTTGTATATAACTGGACTGAATATCATGGCTTATGAATCTGCAATGGGTTGTTTTGTAGTAAGTCCAAAGCCAAAGGGAAATAGTGGATCATAACTTGAATCACCAATGTTCATTGGGAGCTGATCAACCGTCTTGAACCAGGTCCTGGGTAGCTTCCCGCTAAACTCGTAGTCCCCAAACAAAACATCACTTACTCCTTTCCCTTCGCTTCCGGGGAGCCATGCGGCCACCAAAGCATTAATCTTTGGGAGATAGGGTTCCACCACTAGCGGCCGACCGGAGATGAGCACCACCACACACTTGATGCTTTCACACACAGTTGTTATGGTGGTGGGACCTGGTTCAGGAATGGTTAAGTTCATGTTGTCCCCTTCATATTCGGCATAGGGATATTCCCCCGCAACCACAATAGCATAGGAGAATTCGTTGGATCTCATGAATTCCATATCAGGGTTTTCTTTGTACACTACTTCTGTGGTTGGATTGACGGTACTTGAGATCGCTTGCAATATGGTGGTCCCTGTACGAACAACAAATTAAATCAACGGATTTGGTTTTATGAATGTATAGTTTTTACATAATTTGGTAATGCATGTCATCATACTAAAAAAGTAGGGAAAAATTTAGATATTGCCTATAAAGCACAATTACATGAATAAATTGTATAAATATGTTTTTAGATTCTATGATGTGAACACATTAAAGCGTATCTGCATGATCCTTTTAATTATTAAGTCAAAAGCCAAAGATGATTAGAGGTAAGGTGATGTTAAAATAATGAAAGAATTAATCCCATTTTAGGTCCTCCGAGTTTTGTGTCATTTCCATATTTAGTCCTCGTCTTTCACTTTATCCATTTTTGGTACCTGACTATTGTTTTCTTGATCATTTTCGGTCCATCTTTGGTCATTTTTACTACCGGAAAAAGGATTATATATGATCAAGAAAACAATAGTAAGGTACCAAAAATGGATAAAGTGAAAGACGGGGACTAATTGTGGAATTGGTGCAAAACTCGAAGGACTATAAGTAGAATTTCTTCCATAATGATATGAAGATCATTGTCTTGCTCTTAATTAGATTAGATTTAAAGATCTATGGAAGGGTTAGTTTGACTACTATACCATCAGTGGTGTTGCCACCATGGCCTTGCCAAGTGATAGTCCATCCACCACATTGGTAGCCTATATTGTCAGCATGGGTTCCAGCCACTAAGATTCTGGTTGTCTTCTTTGGGAGAGGGAGTAAAGGCTCATCATCATCACCACCATTCTTCAACAGAACAAGTGATTTCCTTACTGCTTCTCTTGCCAACCCTCTATGAGTCTAGTAAATGAAATTATGATATGTTTAAGTATATCAATTATTCAATTAATATTGGAGTTGTTTGAGTTAGATTAAATTAAGGTTTGGGATTTGAGATCAACCTGACTTCCTAGGTGATTAGATATGCTAACATCGGCCCATGGATTCTCAAATAAGCCCATTATAAATTTAACACGCAATATCCTGCTTACGGCATCGTCAATCCGGTCCATCGGGATGAATTTGTTCTTCACCAAGTAGTTTAGGGTGTCGATGAATTCAGTGTAATTGTATGGGGCTATAAACTGCAAAATAAAATGATTACTTAAACTCCATAAATATTTTGAACCGTTTTCATTAATTTGATATTTGTACCATATATTTGATCTCAGCTTAGAGCTAGAGTTGCCAAATTATATTGAAAGGTTCAGTTCCTATATTTAGCTTCCTAATCACAAGTGGTTAATATTTGAAAATGTTGATCACATTTAAAGAAAACTGATTCCTTTTGTAAATATCAAAAAAATATGTAGACCATATTTTTTGACAGATTAGAAAAAAAGCATTCAGGTAAATCTAATTTTTACTCAAAGAAGAGCCACACTTCTTTATAATTCAGCCTCATTATAATTGTTTATTACTCCAAATCGGCTCTAAATTAACTATGAATAAATTTATTTATTAAAGGGATGAATCAATTGATTACTATGTCTATTCCAGCTTGAACACCCGCTAAAACCGAGTAAGTATAATTTGAATGCGGTGGATCTGTAATTTTATCAATCCCTTCCGAATCTGAAATCACAAAACCCTACAAAATAAAACACATATTCATTAGAACCAGTTCTAGAGAAACATGACACTATGACAGTGAATATAATGCATTAGACTCCAAATATAAGAATCCAAAGTTACTAGGTACGCAAAAAACCATTTCAACATTGTGACAATTACATAATGAAAACCTACTAGGAGTGCACAACTCCTCACATAAAAACACTCTAACAGGAAGTATAAGAGTTCATCATTCCTACCTCACATGTCAATAGTTAAGGGAAGGGATATCAGGTGCTGATCGTTCCACCCTTCGTTCGCTAAAAACCTTTTACTGTATTTAAAATGTACAAATTTTATTTGTAAAATCTTATTTGAATGAATTCATTTATCTGGCTACCTCTATATTTCCTCCTACCTACTATATCATCTATACATAGAAAAGCCAAAAGGTGTGTCATAATCAAACTCGATCATAGATAAATCTATACGTACCTTGAAGTTGAGAGTTCCTTTAAGGAAGTTGGTAATGAGAGCACGATTAGAATGCATCTTCTGGCCATTCCAGCTAGAGTAGGAAACCATGATGGTGGAGATGCCTTTGAGGATTGAAGGATAGTAAGCAGGCATATGAATGCTTAACAACCCCTCCCAGTCTATCACTGTGTTGCTTTGGTCTTTCCCAAACATTGTCCCGCCATCTCCCACAAAATGCTTTGCACAAGCCGCCACTTTGTTCCTATCAAATCCATCACCACCCTATGTTATTAGTTCCTACATTACTTTATTACAATTCAATTGTATCATTATTCATGTAAAGTATTGTCATCTGAAATACTAATGCCGTTATATATGCATCATCACTAATGCCATTATATATTATGGCACTACTTTCTAGGATGACAGTACTTACATGTGTTACTGTATGCTAATATATATAAAACCACCTTATTTTTACCACTATTTATAAGAATTTCTTTTACTCAATGAACTTACTTGCCACCAACGTAAGGGTAGCCTTTCGGGTAACCCTCAGGAATATCCCCCTGCAAGCCCAGTATAATTTCAGTCATTTCTTTCACAACTTTTGGATCTTCACTGTAGCTCTCGTAACACCTTCCCCATCTTGGATCTCGACTCACCTTTTTTATTTTTGCATTTAAATCGAAATGTATCAGAATGTCGATTTAGTGGTCTAGCAACTCCATGCGCTGTGCAAATTTAATCTTCTATAAATATGTATGTGTCCATTATTTTTAGTGTTATTGAAAATAACATCTTGTATTCTTGTACGTAACTTATTACCGTTTCAATATTATGGAGTTTTCCATTCGAATAGATCATTTTCCCATAGAAATACCTACCGAATTGAATAGTTGCAAGTACATAGTTTTTTTTCATCTAGCAACTAGCAAGTATAAGACCTGATCCAATTAATTTTGCAGAAACCGTAGTGAACACATGCATATGGGTTACTTGATAAAATAAGCAATTTTCCCCTGCGATTATTGAATGAGTTGGGTGAAATAACCATCTCAATTAAACTGGATTAATTATGTAGTTTGCAAGCGGAGATAAAATTAGAAGTGATTGCTATATATTTATTATATGAATTTGTAATTGAAAACATTATTTCATGTTATATAGATTTTGGTTCAAGTGAGAAATCCATCTAATGTGATAAATGAGAATCAATTTCAGCCATTACATTTACAAAGTTGCACTAAAAATGGTTTTATGTTGCAGTAATATTTAAATTTTGCAATGATGCACTAAAACTGTTTCATGTTGCACTAATATTTGACGGCGTTGCACCGAAATAGCTTCATGTTGCACTAGACAAGTCTAATACGAATTTTTCAGAAGTATTTACAGAAATGTCATCGTGCTAGATTGCATATTTCAGTGTATCATGAAGTATCTTTTACTGCAACTTAGTCGAATCCAATGGCTGAGATTCATTCTCATTTCTCACCTAAAAGGTTCTTCTCACTTTGAACCTTACCCTATATATATTACCGCGATACATGGAGCAAAGGCATAATTTGTGCCAGTGGCCCTAGTCTCAAGAGCAGTCGCAGCACCAATTCTCTTCACTAGTTGAGGATCCCTGCATGCATACAAAATTATACTCCCTCCGTTTCTAAAAGAAAGTCACGGTTTGACTTCACGATTATTAAGGAAATAAATTGACTTTACTGTAGAAAACACTGTTTAGACACTGTTTGGCACTGTTTGGACACTGTTTGGCACTGTTTGGCACTGTTTCACACTGTTTGGATGTAGATTTCTTTGCCAAATAAGGAAATAAGGGAAGTGTGACTTTTATTTTGGCACATCCAAAAAAGGAAAGTGTGAGGTTCTTTTAGAAACGGAGGGAGTATATATCTGAAACCTATTCTTCTTATACTATTACAACTATAATAAATTTATAAACATATGAGTGTATAATTTTTTTAAGAAAAAGGAAAGGGAAAAGTCAAATTGTAATTACATTCTCTAAGTAACGTAATACTCCAGGTAGTATTCAAATGTATTAAGACTTCGGAGGTTTGGGGTTCCATCCTAAAAGGTCAACCTGTTATGAGGAGTAGCCCAAGTCTTTATATGTTGATTTGTATTAGTATCCGCAACCGGTGTGGGACTGCTTAATACGCCCCCGCAAGATGGTGGCTCGTTGGAGCAGACCAATCTTGTAGTCCGTGTGCTCGTTGTTGAGGCTTACCATGATCTAATTACTCATTGGAGCTTAATTTGCTCTGATACCATATTAAGACTTGGGGTTCCATCCTAAAAAGTCAACCTGTTAGGAGAAGTAGCCCAAGGCTTTATATGTTGGTTTGTATTAGTATCCGCAACCGGTGTGGGACTGCTTAATAATATGCTAGTTCATATGTGGATGGTGTGGAAAATGTAACACGCCTTTTAAAGTAAGGGTTCGTTTGTTGTGATGCATTTTAAACGGATTAAGAGCTAGTTGTGTGGATAAGTAAACATTTTACTTGTTTATTTGATTTGAACTAGTTAATGTAAACTCTAGGACACTTTGAAAAACATTTAAACTTTATCATGTAAAATATTTTATATGGGGAGAGTGTGGTTTTACATCTGTTTATACCGATTACGGACAACAAATACTTCGAAAAACAATTTCAACCTAGCCTCCAACTTTCTGGTGCAGCCGACTAGTATCATTAGAAAAATTTGTGACATATTGAATTGCTTCTCTTAGTTGAGGACTTGCCACATGTGACATGTTCCATATGCTATTGGCTTCATAATCCACAAGGGTGCCAATTGAACTTGGCTGGGAAATTACTCCCTCCAAGTCTAATTTTGCTTCAGGCAAGGTGTTTGTTGAATTGCCAAAAAATGTGCTTCACACACAGGGTTTGCAGAACAGCACCATAGTTCTTTCGTATATATTTCAGAGGTAAAATTATTTTCCAAATAAACATTGTGAAGAGTTTGCATGTAATTTAAAAATAGATTATATAGACAGTCAAATGATGTATTTTTATTTTACATGCAAACTAATTGATACCCTAAACTTTACATGCAATCATTTTGCATGTAAAGTTTTAATGTGTAAACTACCAAAGGGGCCTAATTACTCATTAGAGCGACCAGATCTTGATGTTTGAATAGTCATTTTCCTTGAACTTGGTATGTTGATTTGTATCTATCAATATATATGTTGATTTTTCATGTTAGTCATAAACAACGTAAATTAAAAATATACACTCCCTCCATCTCATTGGACTTTGCCAACTTTCCCTTTTTTATTGTCCTAAAAAACTTTGTCACTTTCCTATTGAAACAACTAATTTGTGGTTCTGCACATTTCTATCTCCTCTGCACAAATATCAACCACACAGCTTTTACTATTTTTATTTCTCACCTACTTTGCATTTGGCAAAGTCCACCGGAACGGAGGTAGTACATTTTTATCTCTCCCACATGCTCGTATAATTAAAGACATTTATTTCTTCTCTTTTTAATTGTTGTTCTAGTATGCTTGCATTTTTTATGATAGTATGTTTGATCCCTCCAAGTATCATACTCTGTATCATTTTAAATCAAATGACATTTTTAATTAGAAAACCGGACAAACTGAAACCAAACCAATCAAACCATGGTTTAAAGTTTTAAAATGTAAAACCAAACTGATCTTTCTACTTTGCTTCCGTATATGTTTTTTGGTCAAAATCAAACCGAATAAACCAAACTCACCCCTAAAATTGACTGAGCGAGTACATGTATACTAACGGAGAATTTGATTTAATGGCAGGAAGGGTTGTGGTTAGCCCATAGCCACTATGTAACACAAATACTTTTAACTAAGAGACCGCATCGATCTATAAAAAATGCACAGATACTCTGACATACCCGTCTTGTACATTCTCATGCCGTATATGCAATTTATTAAAAGCTTTGAACTTTTTTGTAATTATTTAGGAATTCGAATACATGTATCTTGACGGAAACACATGTGAACTTTTTTTATAAAGAAAAAACCCAAAAATAAAATAATAAAAGATTTAAAAAATATTTATTAGAACTTTTAGTTTTTTATTAGAGTATTGTTACATATCGATCTTAGATCATTGAGAATATTTTATTCAAGAACTTTGAGTGCATACTTTCACTTTTACTTTCAAAATGGTGAATGTTTGATTTGTTTCTCATTTCAAATTAATAACTACTGCCTCCGTCCCCTTTTTATTGTCCCTTTACGGTTTACGAGGTTTGATCGACGATAAAGCAAACAGATCCCTGTCCGATCCGCACTCAAATTATTTTTAGGGAAAAAAATTATATATTCAGAAACTGCATTAAAAAGCTTTACAAAGCCGCAAAAACCTGAATCAAATTTGATAAATTTTTTATGTATAAAGTAAGAAATTAAGAGTGATTTGTGTTGACCAAGTAAATAGGAACCGGGACAATATAAAGGGGAGGGAGGGAGTAATTGATTATATTTATATTTCGAGATGCATTAGTATATTTATTTTTATGCATTTATTTCTAACTATCTTGATAGTATGAAATGCTTCAATGCTATAATGGGCATATGATAACATACGTATATATTTTCAAATAAAATATAATATTGTAAATTGTACGGAGTAATATTTATAAATGTACTCCCCTAACTTTTAAGACTTATTAATATACTCCATATTCGTATCCTATTACTGCTTTTTGTTTATTGTATCCTCATGCTCGTTTTCACATTTCCCCGTTCCTTTGTCAACGAAACGGAAATCAGCCTAAATTGATAATTAGGTTTATGCGATTCTAAATCATTCGTGTTTTATTTTACTTTTTCAATTCAACATTTATTACAAAAGCTTAATTTTCATAATATGCCATCACTTGCTCGTATCCCAATGTTAATGTAGTGAGGTAATAATAAGCATATACGAAGTACTTGCCTGGTAGCACCAAGCCCAATGTTGTGAGGGAAAATGGTAGACTTGTAGGCATTGTTGTTGCCATGGATAGCGTCTGCTCCATACATCATGGGAATCCCGAGCCGGCTCGACAACGAACCATTCTGGAAGCGGTTCACCAACTCCACCCATCCATCCGCCGTGTTTTTCTCTCTCGGCACCCTTCCGCCGCCGGCCTGCATACTCCCGATGGAGTAGTCCCTCATGATCTCCGCCGTAACTCTGCTCCGATCAACCTGCACCATTTGCCCGATCTTCTCCTCCACACTCATCCGCCTCAACAAGTCTCTGATCCGGGACTCTGTCTTTTTTCTCGGATCCTTGTATATCGTGTACCCGTTGGCTGCCGCCGCCGCCGCCGTGCATAATAGAAGTGCCGCCATCAGTGGGACGAGCCCAGTTCCCGGAATATTCATGCCTGCCGGCTAGTATGCCAAGTATGGTATCAAAATGATTTATAAGCTAGCTTGATATGGATGTATGTGGAATTATTAAAAATAAATATAATGGGGATAGGGGAGAATTATTATTATTCGTAGTATTGAATAGTTTAAGCTTGTAATGGTGATTGTTTACATAGAAAATATTTTGTCATGGTACGTAAGCTGAAGGGATACACATTGACGTGATGGATTTGACTATTTTCGTCATTGTCTAATACTCTAATTGGGGTAGATGGTACGTAAAATCGCTTGAATGATCAGATTTATTGAAACTAACCGACCAAATTTTAGTTAAAATAACATAATTGATCTAATCTCATATTTCTAAATTACCTCATCCATCATTTTAAAATAATCAAATCTTTTATGTTGAGATAATTTTAGTTTTGCACTCATTAATTAATATTATCCTCCGTCTCTTTTTAATCGCAACATGTTGAATTTTACACTATTCACAAGTTCTACTTTGACTACATTTTATGTTATTATTTTATGAAAATTATTATTTTAAAAAAATATTGTTCAATTCATCTCATTACAAATTTTCAAAATCTAATTTTTAAATATTTTTTTACTAATAGAGATTAAGATATAATTACGGTCAAAGACGTGCGTTGGCAAGTGTGAAATGTTGACCGTTGCAACTAAAAAAGAACGGAGGAAGTACTAGTTTCATAAATTTTAGTTAAAATAATTTTAGTTCTGCATTCACTAATTGATACTAGCTTCACAATAATATTGAGATAATTTGGATTCATATTTCAATATTTTCATCATCCAATCTCACTAATTTGAATTATTTTATCAAACAATCTCACTAAATAATACTCCCACCGTCCCGGAAAGGTTGGCCAAATTTCCTTTATTGGATGTCCCAAAAAGATTTGTCATTTCCATTTAAAGTAAGGAATATGTGACTAAAGTTAATTCTCTCTCATCTGCACAAATTTCAACCACACAGTTTTTACTTTATAATCCACGTGAATGCTACAATGTGCACATATGGCATGAGAGATAGCCAAAAAAATATTAGAAAATAAATTATATCTCTCCTTATTTGAATGGTTTTGTACAATTTTGGTAAGTTTCTATCTGTAATGTCAACCATAATCTCAACATCTAGACGATCTTCATGACATTGTGGAGAAAAACTTATCAGCGTTGCATAAAATCAGTCAAATAAGTCAAATAAGAAGAAAAATTTAATTGCAAATATTTATATAGCTATCTCTAATGTCACATAATTTCAATTTTTCTTTCCAATTTTACTAAATTGGAAAGAAAATAAAAAATATTATAATGAATGTTTGCTTAGAAGATGACACATTGCAAAACTTTCCATAATTGTATCTTTGAAATGTATTATTTATAGATATGGTATGATGTTATTAGGACTAATTTACAAATCTCACAAATCATAAGAATCTATATATATCTATTTATATCTGTAGGTCCCGGATAGAGGTAAAAGTCTAGACGGGGGGTGAATAGACTTTTAAAGTTCTTTCAACTTTAAGAGCTTTTCCCTTCTAGATAGGCAGATCTATAGTCTTTTGAGAGATTATAAATGCACAGCGGAAGTCTTGACCTCTTGTGTAAAGCAACTTTTTATATAGATGGAGTTTTGAACCCTGTTTGAGTGAGCAGTTGTCTGAGCAATTGAGTAAACTGCAGGGAACTGCTGAGTCAACTGCTACAGAGTATGACTGTGTGAGAAATCTGATAATGGGATCTTGTTAGGAATAATGAAAGCTTTCTGTATATGTTCTGAGATGGGTTGAGATTTGAACTTTATGAGAGCAGTGGTCTCAGCAGTTGGATGGTCACCAGGGAACTGCTGAGTCAACTGCTTAAGGAAAAATGAAAATATGGAAGACTGATTGTATAATCTTGCTTAGGATGATTAGAGCTTTCTGGAAGTGAGCTGAGATGAATTGAAGTGGAAGTTTTATGGGAGCAGTGGTCTAGGCAGATGGGTGGTTTCAGCCTCTATTTATAGGCTTCTCCTTTGGATTAATCTCATTCGTTGGTTAGGATGATTTAATCTCTGGCGTTGAAAATCTGGCAAGGACAAGTTGTACATTTGTCTTCTTGTGCTGGAGCTTTTACTGCGGCTGTATTCAATAATTGGCCGTTGGGAGTTCACTTCAAGTGTGTCCCGTGCTGTAGGTCCATGTACATGTTTGAGTTTTTAATGCTGGTCAAATTTTGTCTCCAATCATTCAACGTATTCGAGTGACTTTTAATTAATCTTTGAGCTAAATAATATATGCCGGTAGGATCTAAATATCCTATTAAGGTAAATAAAAATTACCTTATTGCATTTTTACTTTTCCGGTAATATTACATTAGTCTCAAAACTTGTACATTTATTTTGTCACTTAAATTAAATTGAACACTAATACTCGAATTTAATTAAGACACAATGTACTAGTGCAAAGTATAGTGGCATCATCAAAATCTATCAAAATTAGGTACTAACAATATCTATAGATAATACATTTCAATCTAGATGTTGACATTATGGTTGACATTACAGAGACAAACTTATTAACTTTAGAGATAGCTATATAAATTGTGAATATTAGAGCCTACAATATGTGCACGGTGCACAAGTGGCTACTTACAATTCATAATTGAAGAATCAATAGAATTGGGAAGAATGGAAATAATTGTCCCTAATTAAAAACATGAACTTACAAATAATCTCAGGGTTCTTGGATAAAACAATGGAAAAACGCAGATAAATTCGTCCCTAGGCCTCTCCGTAATGTTTGTAACCCTTAAACAGGAGAAGAGATGTCTTATTTATAGAAAACAGACAAGTTTGGGCTGAACTGAGACTAAAACGGGGTCAGACACGACGTGCCTAAGGGACAGGAACGACCGTGCCTGCGGAGCAAGGCCGAACTTCGCGTTTCGGGTCCAGGCACGGCGTGCCTGGACATTCCAGGGATCCGTAACACTACAGGCACGGTGTGCCTCCCTAGGCACGACTGTGTCTTCCTTTCTGAATTTGGAGATACTTCCTTCATGAAAGTTGTAGATAATGAAGTCCTCTATCCACCACAACTTGCAGAATTGAATTTGAATCATCTAATCAAAAGATATGAATACAATGGTGGAAGGTCGCATTCTGAATCGCAGCAGAGATCATCTGACTTCATCGTCTGTTTTCACCTTTCTCCTCTCAGATTTTCGAAATGGTGTCTTCATATGATTTGTAGCCCATGAAGTTGGCTTTCATATGGAACTTGAATCGTGTCCTTTGGATGTTTCTACAAAACCATATGCTTGAACGATTGACAGAAGGTCATCCTGAACGCCGTTTTCAAGCTTTATTTGTCTTCTTTTGATCCCTTAGCAAATCCTAGAGCTCTTTTTTCATCAAATCTTCATCCCAAACCTCCTGGTGATCTCCATAGCTCTCAATTCATTCTCGAATGCTTCTCAAATCATCCCGATTGCTTCTTTAGCGCCGGTGTCGGGCTCAAATTCCCCAATTTTGACTCCAAACAATACAAAACTCGAACCAACGTCCGGTAAACATAACTTGAGCTAAAATTGAGACCTGTAACACCTTAAAGCTAGGAAAACCATCAAAATGCGATCCCAACACGCATCAAATGTGTGTCTAAATACGGACTTATCAGGGCAGTATGGTGGCCATGATCTATTGACGACATCAGAGTTTTGGCGGCAATAGAGCTTCGGCGGTGGGCGGCGGTGGGCGGCGGCAACCCAGTGAGCTGTTGCAACCCCTAAAAGAGTATTTTTTTTATCCAATCACAAATAAGACTCAAATTTTAGGAACTTTAAACATCTACTTTTATTTTTGCATTTAGAGTGTATCACGTTTAATTTTACTCCTATTGTGGGAATTCACCAAAAAAATTGCATACATGATCCCTCCTAATTCACCAATCAGATCGAATTACACATTCATTTGTTTAAGAAATTACAATAGTTCGTTCATTCAAAATACGTTATTTAAATGATATGAAGCTAGAGTACGTACTAGAGTCGGATAATTTCAATTGATTGAGTTAGGATGTTTTCTTTTGGACTGAAATTTGTTGGTCTAGTCTTGTCTGATCTGGTCTGGTCTGAACTGGTTTGATCTGGTCTGGTCTGAACTGGTTTGATCTGGTCTGGTAAACGTCTGGTCTCTGTGTATTTTATAACCACGGAAGTCTGGTCTGATCTGGTCTGGGACTGAAAACAGTCCAAAAGAAAACATCCTTATAATGTTATATCACTTATAATTTCTGGGGTTGGATCTATAAAATTGTCCATATAAATAAAACATGAACCAAATTTGAAAATAGAATTTATTGTGTTATATTAGTAGTGGAACTCATTTTTTTGGGTAAAATATTACTCCGTAGAATTTATTTTTGAAGACACTTAAGAGATGAAAAGCTAGTACAAGCAAATAGCAGGAGAAAACACGGGAATTGAACGGTTGAAGTTTTTTGAAGTTACCTCGACTATAGTTGAAATAGATCTGTGGTATCTATATGAAATTGAATTGTCTTTCGAAGATAGGATTGATAAATTTTAGCTTCCAGGTGAGAACATGGATCGCTTAAGAGGTGTAGAAAGTTTGTGTAGAGAGTCCAGCCTGACATCTACTGGGTAAATGTAACAATTAGATTCATTTTGAGGACATATCCATCCCACCTCCTAGAATAGTGGTTCGTCTTCCTGAGTTGCATATGGGGGCTTGATGCACTGGGTTCTTTTTTTTTTTTTTGCATTCACTTGAGTAATTTAGTTAAGAAAAGCTCTAAATCTTTTGAATTTTCTATATGTTTTGATCCTCTACAGTGACCAATTTCTATTAAGTAGAAATAGATAATTTAGTAAAATAATACTTCATACGTTCCGTTAAGATTGGCCGTGTTTGGGAAACGGCAGATCCGCTAGTTTTTGGCGTTTCAACTTAATTGGCTTTTAGATTTTGGTCAAACCGCTGTTGTGACTTGTGAGTC